CCCCCCCCCCCCCCCCCCCTTCCCCAATTTTTCTCGACTTTGCTAGGATTGCCGTAAACCCGAACTAGAAGTATGCAAGCACCCAAACACGTCTCGCTGGTTCGCGTAAATTTCCTCTCAATTCCTGACACGAGCTTATGTACCGCCTTGCTAACAACGTTCCCGGTTCCCGATCTCTCGTATACGTGACCCCCCCTCCTCCTCCTCCACTTCCCTTGTCGTACCGAACATAATGGCAGGTAGGTCGGGGAGTGAGCGCTTCTGGCACCTTGGGTGCCTTCCGCCAACCGAAGCCCGTCTCGCCATCGAGAGCTATACCATAGCATGACATAATGTACAAAGTCAACCCTCAATTTTCACAGCACGCGCTCACCACCTGCAAGCGCAGCGGGGCAGTTGTCCAATCAAAGCCGCCCTTTTCTCCCAATCCCCCTGTTGTACCACGGGCTTGGTTCCACCGTCCCCTTGCTCGTGTCTGTCGCCTCTCCCTTCACAGGCTCATACTGTCCTTGAACGAAGAAACGGTTTCACTCTTAGCGACACCACGTCTCATCTTTCCACCTCAAAGCTACCAACGCCGTCCAGTCCAAGCTCCACCGCCGCCGCTGTTACTCCAACCAACGTACAACGTACAACGTCGCAACCGATTGATGCCCTCCAATCAACGCTACGCCGCAAGTCGCGCCGCCAACAACGTTGGATGGATTCCGGGGTAGCGAGGTTTCAACACATGTGACGAAACCTATGCGTACCACTCGGGGTAGTTATACACCTCCACCCGGTCCATTATCTCGGGCGGCACCATGTGCACACGCATCCGGCGATGAACCCTCCACTCATAATCCGCAGGGACTCACCAGAACGTCTTGGACTATTTCGACAGCCTGGCGTCATCCATGTACGTCGCAGTCGCCAAATGACAACGCAAGGCTTTTTTCACCCCCACTAGTCCCAAGAAACGCTCGTACACTACGGTCGCCTCCCACTATTTCTTCCCAACTAATGCGTGCGCCGCAGGCACATCCTGCGACTAATCCCCCGCCTCACCACATCATGTCTCGCGTAGCAAACGACAGACAAACGCCTTTCTGGCTACACTACGCCCTCCCCGCTTCTCTACGGTACGCGGGCGGAATCAAGCAACGATGCCGTCTAGCAACAACATTAACAACACCACCCACGAGTCACACTAACGATACGCCGAAAGTACTTGCTGTAAAAACGAGAGAGCGGCTATCAGTCCACTTGCGACAACAGCACCGTGGATACAAGAAAAGCGAAGACACGTCACACATAAAGAACAAACGCAGGGGAGTACGGGCAGACGTTCGGTCAGTTCTGCCACCACACACCCAGCGAACAAATATAGGAGCGAGCCGAGCACCGCACTAAACAATGGAAGCCCATTCCTTTCCTTCATCCTGCCTTTCTTGCTCTACCACCGACCGACCAAACACGCGCATGCAGTCAACACGACACAAAAAGAACAACAGACTACGGTATGAATAGAAAACAGAAAACTCCTGGGGATGCCGCACAAAACGACAAAGGCCAAGTGGGCGGCAGACTGCTGTTGAAGGGAATTATCATTCGCGCTGTCTGCTGGAAACCTTCCGCGAATAATCTCATCGAAGGATGGGAGAACCGGAGTGGAACGCAACAGGATCAAGTCCCGAGGGGATGAGACGCGCTCACGAGGAAGGAAGGCACCGTACCACAAAAAGAAAAAACATGCGAGCGCATTTCCCCCCCCTGAAAAGAAGAAGACAAAAGAGAGGAAGGCACGTACCAAGGACAGTCGGGTGATGATGCCCCGAGAAAAGTCCGTAAATATGCCGAATCGTCAATATACCCACCGCCTTGCGAGGACGACAAACCAACATCAAAGACTACGACGATGCATGCTACGTGCCGAAGCTGTTGTTGGATGGGCTGGAGGACTTTGCCGGGTGTACAAAGTTGGCTCCAAGACCGACCACCGCTCCCGTGCGAGAGCCACCTGCCATAAAAACCGCCTGTATAAAGAACTGGGCCAACAACAACAGCGCTTTCAAACCCTGCCCACTACTCCTTACCCCAACTTCGCGCGCGTGGATGCGCGTGCAAGTGGCAATTACGTTTGCGCCCATGCGCAACGAATTGCATCGCGGCCGAGTGGGAGTTATCCCAAGACGGGCCGAACACCCCAACCCGAAAGAAAGAACAAAAGAAGGCTAACCACTCGCCCCCCCGTGTTCTGGAGTACAGTTGTAAAACAGAATACAATCTCGTGAACCCTCGCCCATATGTACCCCCTGTTGGGAACGGCACACTCCATTTTAGCTTTGCGTTGGAAAAAGAGCGCCCGGTGTTGTTTCGGCAACAGGATTGTGGGATGGTAACCACGCCAACGAGCGCGGCTTTTCGAACGAACAAAAAGCAAAAAAGTAGGGGGGGGAGTTGAGCAACCCAACATACGACGTGCAAAAAAAAAAAAAAGACCTAAGAGACAAACGGAAAAGTAGAAGTCATGAATCCTAAAACTTTCACACCACGCTTACGTCCATCGCATATCGTCAAGTAACCCAGCAAATAAACGGGCGTTGCGTACGCGTAACCAGCGTAACAAGCGTAACAAGCAAATGCTCTCCCTTTTCTTGAATGTGGGAGCATGCGGTACACGTACTACACATCAAGGAAAAAACCAACCGGTACACCCATCACCCCTTCCTCGCTGCTGCTACACTCATCCCTCGCTGCGGCCGTTAACAAAGCAGAATGCGGCGGCGGATCAAACAAAAAATAAATCCGTCCCAACAGCAACCAAGACCACCGTGTCCCGGCGCACGCCAAACCATTTGTGATTATTTCTTCTTTAACGTGTTTGTACGATACGAGGGAACCCCACTATCTAAATTCAACAGGTACTTTTGCTCACACCTAGCAAGGCCGGGTCAAAAAAACACAGGAAATGTGCGCTCATCAACACAACAGCAGTCAGCGAGGGCATGGTCGAAACTTGAAAATTTCAACAACACAACTAGACTAATCCATCGACGACGCTATATTTTCGGGTTTGTACAAGAGGGTGATTCCATCACTGGCAAACAGACTACGACGACGATGACACGGCAGACAGCGTGTGGAAGAAATGCGCGAAAGGCTGCCCGCCGACTACTACCCAAACAGAAAACAACGACCCCTGCTCTCCCGAGCCCGTCATGAGGATTCTCAACGCCGACAGTCTTATCTCAGGATACGGGCAAAAGAGGGCCGACCAAGCAAAAAAAAAAAGACAAGGAGCACTCTGACAGATGGGGAGACGGAGAGAGGGGCGCCGCGGCATAGGCACGCACGCCACCCTGCCTGGGAAATCTTGTTGCGTCTCTTTTCTTTCCTCTTGGTACGCAGAGAGAGTTGCTGGTTACCGACGGGAGAGAAGCAGCGGCAACACAACACGATCTTGATGTCACGCTCGAAAACTAAAACAGCGCAGCACAGAGGCGGGGGAGGACGGGGAGGCCGGGGGAACAACCATCACCACCCCCGGCGCCACGCATCCTTCGCTTACAAGAACCGAGATGAAACCAAACCAGAGGAAGTACGTGACTCCCGTGAACTCTCCCCGGGCGGCGACTTGCATGACGGCTTCCCTTGTTAGCCAAAGCCGGTTCACCTTCCCAACCCTCACATGCGCCCTTCTCGACCCAAACCGAAAGCATACTGCTGTCCCACGCCAACCCGTCATCGCTCGTACACCACAGGGAGGGGTCAAGGACCAAGCCTCCCCGCAACACACCGGCCTCCTTTTGGGAACGCCCCCGGGCGAACGTGAACGGTCACACCACGGGGCGCACCATCCATGCTTTCTTGCAACAGGGCCAACGTGACTCGTTCCACCCCTGCCACAGCCATTCCCGATTGTTCTCTCTACCATGTCACAGATACTGAAAGCTGGCGCGGGGGACAACGCCCCCCCTCCCCCAACGGAAACGACAAAATAACACAGAACACGAGCCAGTCGTGGGTCCGTTCTTCTTCATCCTATCACGTTGGTGGATATCTTCGTTCCTCCACACACACCTCCTGCCCCCGCCCCCCCCTCGTCTGGCTGCTTCCATATTTTCGCAAGGACAAGAACGAACAACAAGGCTCTGTCTCTCTCGTGGTCGCTTCGATCTTCTCTCGCAAAAGGAAGAACGAACAACAAGGGCAAGAGGAACCATTCACATCTTCGCGGCATAATCCAGCAGTAGCAGCAGCAGCAGCAGCAGCAGCTAGACAAGAGAAACGTTCGAAGTACCCACAAGCCCACACCAGACCCAGAGAAGAACGCCTCGCACGCTCGGAAATCCCCGGGTATTTTTCCTATTTCCCCCGGTATGTTTTCGACTCAACAGAGGTACGTGGTTTCCCCGCTGGCATCATCACGTTCTCGCTTGCTTTGCTTTCGCTCAAGCAACCAGGTGCCTGTCCTGTCCATGTCCATCACCCAGTGACATTCCTTCCTAGCCCACCCAGACGCGAGGCAAAAGCTGCCGCCGGAGCGCGGTTCTGGCAATTCCCAGCGTCTGCGGGCACGGCGACTGTGCGCGCGTTGGGGGCGGGGGCAGGGGGGGAGGCAATGGGCCGAGCGACCGGGACCAGATCAGCAAGGTGTGTTATCAGAATAAAGGCGAAATACCAAAGAGAGAGAGAGACGAGGCGGTGCGGGTGTGAAGAAATCGCCGAAAAACACTCCACATGCGAATGTTTCAGGGCGTAATTCTTGCGTGCTGCAGATGCGCACGCACGCGTGTACCAAGCAGCACGCGGCATCTGTTCTTATCGGCAGAACTCCTCTTCATCCACACATTTTTTTCTCCGTCTGTCTGTCTGTCCGTCCCCGTCCCTCTGTCCCTATCGCCGTATCATGACAATCTTTGTCTGGCTCTCCCTTCGTCACTGCTACAGTAGTACAAAGGCTCACCCCCTCCAGCCCCCGGGGAGACCGCTTTTCCAGCCCCGCCACGTCGTCTGCCTCGTCCACGTCGTGGTACGTGCCTCCGGTCCTAGTCGAAACACCCCTCGAAGCGAGCGCGAGCGTCTGGCTCTTGCACGTCAAGGAGTCCGACCACTTCACACCTTCGAACGTCCCTCGCCCTGCCTTCGGCGGCAAGCCAAGTAGGGTGTAGCCTCCGTCGGATGCTGTGTTGCAAGCGCAGAGGGGGGGGGGGTACTCGTTGTTCCGCCTGGTTCGTACAGGACCGCCTTCGAATTAATAAGCTTGCGAGGAAATAGACCAGGGAGGGGGGAATCAGACTGTATCCCTCAACCCAAGCCACCTTCCCCGATAGTATGCGTTATTCAACATGTTTGCTTACTACGACAAACTGCCGAAGGCTACCGTTCGTACACCAGTAGTAGCTCCCGAGTCAACGAAACACTCCCCGCAGTGGGGAGTACAACACGGGCGTGCGGATGATGACATCTTGAGGGCTTCGACAAAATGTCCATCTACACTAGGACGGTCACGCCAGTGGCCAAATCGGACTGCAGAGTAGCAGCCACGCCATGACAGCGGTGCACCCCCAAACTTGTTGAAAACCAGCAATCGCGGCGAGCACAGCCAATCCGCTACTTGAAAAAACGAATGTCCATAACTGAACGATGACACGGAGACTCCAACATACCGCTGCTACGTCGTCGAGCTGTACGGGATGCCACACAAAAGCACCTACAAAAGGTTGCAGGAAGGTAGATGATACCAACCACAGCGAGAGCTGTTGAGCGATGACTGCACCGCTCAATGGGAAAACCGAACCTGGGGGCTCCTCACCATTGCCACTCTGGAGAGCACACACAACAACGAGAATAATTTCGCCGCCTGTAACACGCGTGGTCTGCACACGAAAACCGGGGGGGGGGGGTTGGGGGGTAGGGGGCCCCCTGCGCGTATTCACGCCCCCCAACAAGCCCGCCCTGGGAAACGCGTTCATTGTTTTCACGGAGAGATTCGACCAACATAGCGGCTTTGCTCTTCGCAAGTCGGCTAGCGCTGGTAGACGGTACACAGCAGACGGACTTCCCCTCCGGGGCACGAGACACCACACACCCCTATATCGGTTTTCAAAGCTCGATAGCAAAAAGCATGGCGGTGCCGAGAAAGGAAGCGTTGGAACCGTCTCGTCGAGAAACTTCCCAGGGAGTATCGTTGGACACATGTCCATTCGTCGTGGAGCAATGGAGCTTTGAGAATCGGTCCGGGGTGTGTGATATCTTACCTCACCTTTTGTTAAGCATGTACTGAGTAGGATTTTGTCCCACTATTCGGCCTCGTCCCGCGGAATCACCCACCACGGATACCAATATCTCTCAAGCTTCGAAAACAAAAATCGAGCACGACCGAATGCTGACGTCGTGGCCAAGGCCAAAAAACCCACCTGGGCAAATGTAAGCCTTGCCATCCTTCTCGGCCGAGCTTCTCGCCGCCACAACCTCCGACCACGGCAACTCCGGAGTGTCCATCCCCACGAAAATGACGGCCCCGTCTCTGGTAGAGACAGCAGGCGCGGGTGAGGTAAGGTGTCGGGAGGCAAGACACGGGAACACGAGTTCGGCAGCTCTTCCGAACGGAGGCAAACAGGCTTTAGTTTTCAGTAGCCTGTGGAGGAGAGGTACGAGGTTATCGCGGGTGATATTTAACACACACCCGTCATTTCAACACCAGAACAGCAACACCGCTGCCGGCTTGATCGTTACAGGCGCCCATTTTACCTCTCCCGTCATCTCGCGCTTTTCGTCGTCGTTCCATTACCACCACAACAACACCCGCGGCAGTCTGTGCCTAGCACCGATGGCCTATCCTACCTCTCCCGTGATCTCGCACTCGCCAGCGCCGCCTCAAGTATGGTCGTTAGTCCGCTCTCCCGCAGCGGAGTCCCCGACGAAACCGGCTCCGCGTCCCACGCCTTGTCCAACCCCAGGTCTTTGAGCATCTTGTTCACGGAAGGCCCCGCAGAAGGGGGGGCGTAGACGAAAACTTTTCGGAACTCGCCGGCCGGGTCCTGCGTTGTCGCGGGCACGACAAACATGAAAAAAAAGTGTCACACGGCGGCCTCTCCAGGTCATTCTACATGGCCTCTTGAGAAGCGTTTGGTCGCCAACCGAGTCAGACGTCTCTTCATTGGTCAGCTGCCGCTGGCGATACTAGGAGTGAACACGCAGACAAAAAACACACACACAAACACACACACGGACAGCATAAACACAAGCAGACGGCTACTTCGCGTGTGCCGTGCCGTCCCACCAAGCAGGGTCTTGACCCCCCCCCCCAGAGCCGAATGTGGGCGTGTGTTATCAATTTTTCAGGCGGCACGTCAGTGTGCCACACTAGTAGCGGATTCGGAGACCTGCACGTTTTCGTTGTATTTTCTTGACCGTAACCGAATGCTGCTGCGGTGTCTCCATCCGTGGATACGCAACAATCTGGGCGAATAGGCCCCACACATGCATGGGGTGTTGTTTTTCAATAACCGTGATTGCTCCGCCGGATGCCCTCCAAACACCAGCCCCGTGTTGAGAGCATCAACACCATCAGCACGAGGAATTGTGGTGCGTGGCTCGCCAATTTCGGCCGCACCTCTCCCCCTCTCCCCTCAGCAGAAAAAAAAGGCCACTTTTTTCTACCGAAACTAAGGTGTCTCTGCTCCTCTCCTGTTCCTGTTCCTGTGACCTGGCGTCAAAGGCCATCATTTATTGCACAAAATACAATAACCCCCCCCCCCCCCC